GGAGTTCGGGATTACCATACTGGCACACACGTCTCTTAGGATTCACTAAATGCTGGCGCTTTTGGTATAGTACGTAGTTTTGCCCTCAATTAGCGGATCTTATATGGATGAAATGCATGATTGCACATTCGCGACAAATCCAACCAGTTTATTCTGGGGAACGCCCCTTTTAGTCATTGCGTCATATACGCTCTGTTGAACAACCAACTAATGAAGGTGCGTGTCTTTAATTTTATGACTTTACGCACGGGTGGTCAGATCAATACCGTTGGCTTCGAACCGAACCTTTTCCAGAGTCTCAATTGAAATAGTCCCTCCGTTACTAATCAATCGATTCGTATACTCACCATACACACCATGCTCCGTAGCTTCGAATTGTGAAGATGGTGCTTATTTCTCGCTCAGTCTGTGAACCAAATTCTGTACCTGAAAGTGAACCAGACTTTCTCCAAAGCCCTCATCAAAATAGTCCTCTCCTTTACAATCGGTTGATTCGTATGTTCATCATTTCTACAATCCCTACAGATTGTCATGGAAACCGAGTTTTTAGCGTTGATCAAATCTGTTTTTGGAGACCCCACATTCGACTTCCACTCAGAATCGTAGATACGTTTGAATGTGTATGTAGCCAACACGATGATTTGTGATGGCCAGCTGACGTACAAGTCAGCGCTTTCATCCTCTCTAACGGGTCTGGTACCCTTTGGCTTAGACAAGTCTAGCAGGTTCGATTTCTTGATTCTGCCCCTATTCCTACTAGAGTAGACCTTTCAACCCACTGTATTCGCTCCAATGATTCCTCGTATGCCCCGATAATTATAAACTATGCCTTCAATACCAGATAATCCCTGCTACCCATCGCACCACATAAGCCGAATACACATTCAATTACTGCCATGTATGATGGGAATCGAAGTTGAGAACGAGAAAAGACTGGAAGTCTGATGTATATACTGAGCCCTCCTCCCTTTAGGCTTCAAAATCTTTACGAATTTGAATTTCTCTTTAAGAGTTGCCATCATTCCAGAGTTCACTGGTGATTTTATTCCACTTTAAGGGAAGTGCAATCTCATTACTCGGAACCCCCTTATCCTCCACCCTCAGCGGTTCCCCAAGATGACCTAACTGTCCCCACACCACAGTGACTGTTGTAAATGTCCGCTCGATTTCAGCGAAATGGCACCCATTAATAAAAAATGCAGAAAAGCTGGTAAAAGTAAAACGGGAATGGAAATGGCGACTATTTTTCATTTGCAAAATATATGGGCAATGNCCCCTTATCCTCCACCCTCAGCGGTTCCCCAAGATGACCTAACTGTCCCCACACCACAGTGACTGTTGTAAATGTCCGCTCGATTTCAGTGAAATGGCACCCATTAATAAAAAATGTAGAAAAGTTGTTAAAAGTAAAACGGAAATGGAAATGGCGACTATTTTTCATTTGCAAAATATATGGGCAATGCTCATTTATAGGTAGCTTCATTTTTGATATAAAACTAATGCGCGGCGCATCCTATGAAAACTGAAGAACTTCAGTGGTCTGGTTATGAAAATTTCATTTTGATTTGTATGGGATGATGACTATAAATTACTGATTAATATTACAAAAATTTCTCCCAGCTTCCCTGAGTGCTTATGAATTCTAAATGTCGTTTTTAGTGATCCCTATGCAAGCCACGCCGACTGCAATCGAGACAGGTTCCGGAAAGATTCCCATAACATGTACAGCGTGTACAGGACAAGTCGTAAGTGGCTTTTTCTTATTACTTTTGGTTATTGTGAATTTTCTGCTGCCATGTTTACAATCAATTAGCGACCTATGTATATTCAGATTTTTCTAAATTTATAAACCTACTGATTAAATATTGCTGAAGGTTTCCATAACTGGTTCGAGCTAAGGTTCTGAGACAGGGCCAATATCCGTTTGAATTGGTTTCCCTTACTTTGAGCTGACGATGAAGGGGCTTACAATTAGTTCAATGCGTCTTTTCTACACCCCATTCTAAGGGTTCGCGAATTAATTCTTAGATTGGTAACCTAAGACCCTACCGAGTCTCTAATCCTTCCCGCCTCGCTTGACAGGTTTTGGATTTGCATCTATCTGGGAGAATTGAAAGCTCTGGGTTGACTATCGGTCGGTCACCACCAGTCATTGTGCAGGCCATATACCAATTCAAAGGCCACTGGGACTTTGAATAAAATTCGATTTCGCAAGTTCCTCTCAAAATTGGAACCACAATGCCAACAACGTTCAAAATTGAGTTCTTTCGAACCTTCATTTTGAGCTGCCACACTCGCGTCGTTGGGGAGGCTTTTTCTGTTCTTTTGTTTACTTGTTTATTATAAAAGATTCAATGGAAATTGCTCACATTCCATACGCTCTGCAGAAAATCTCACAAGGTTTTGATCGAATCCCTCCAGTGGTAGAGAAGTAAGGACTGGTTGGGGAATGCTAGTCTGCTTCTTATCCAGAACTGAGCTCGAAATTGTGAGCTTGGTGTTTGCTCCCACTGAGCTCGAGTATGAGTTCTTGCTAGCGTGTGATGAAATTTTCATTTCCCGTCCGGAAAAGCTGGCATGTTGCTTATAGATTCGGCTGCAACTCTGAGGTCTGAGTCATCGGCCAGTGGCGATTCAACGGTCTCTTCCGGTCATCAGGAACGGGTGACGTCAGCTGCTTCAGCTCCAGCTCTGAGGAATTCGATATCGGCTATGAGCATAAGTCAAAGGTAATTGACTTACTTTGTAGGGTGATGTAGAACATTATGAACATGCGACCTGCAAGACCGCCTCTAAGTTGCCCATTCTCAGCTCTGCGTCGTCACGACCACGTCGTCGAGTGGCTCCAATGGCATCACCACTTCGTCTTCCTATCCCTCATGAAATACCCGTGCCCGCACCGTTGGCTACTCCAGAAATGATAGATATTGCTCCGGAATATTCGATTGTTCAGGTGATTTCCATCGAGATGTTGACTTTGTTAAAAATGAAAATAGCTATTTCACTGGCAAAGAAAGGCCCGTAGAGGGGCTGATCCCCAACTTTCATTTCTTTTTCTGTTGTAAAGGGACAGGAAGTGCTGTATTCGGGATAGAAGAACATAGAGAATCTCTTTCTGAGCTTCTACGCCTACGGCTCCATTTGTTCAGGATGCTCTGGTAGACGATGAGCATATCTATGCTACGCTCGATTTTTCTTCGGAACCGCCTCCAAAGGCTCCCTCAAAGGACGAAAAGAAGCCGAACACTGTCAAGAAGGAGAAACGAGTAAGTAGCTTTTCGATGGTTCTGACAAATCGAATCTCTGGAGGTTACTGTAGTTGGGTAATTCTTCCTATCACATTTTGCTTCCCGAGACCTCCGCCTATATCTCCTTTCCTGGAGATGATCTTTTCTTGCCCCAATAGGCCCCCTATAAAGACCTTTTGAGTCGCTTTCCCGCAAACCCTGATTCTAGCATAGTATGTATCGTCTACTTTGAGTTTCCCAGGGCTACAAGAGAACTGGGAGGCATCGCCAAACAGCTATAACGCTAGTGCTGGTTGAATTCCATTTCGATAACATTGAGGCCTTCATTCACGCGGAACCAGCCATCTTGCCCGGAAAAATAGGGGTCGAGGTCTGCTGGCCTTCAAACAAACTTTGTTTGATCATCTTCCTGTTTCTGACTCGTGGAAGACCTCAATTAAACGGCATTCCTGGCCATTACCCCTTGCCGCTACCTTCTAGCTCTTTGATTTCTCGTTCACAATGCTTCCCAAACAACCTCTCTTTAAGCGCCCCCTCCGAGCCAGAATGTTCTCAAATCACTCCAGCACCGAACCGGCATCGTCTCCATCACAGCCGTCTTCCGCTGGTAAGTAATGAGGTGATAACACTTTTTACATTATTACCAACCGGTTACTCCCAAGCTTTGGTTCATTTTATGTTCTTTTTTGGTGTCGGTGTTGTACAGTGCTGTGTTGTACAGGATCATCTACACATCGTGATGAAGCAATCGACCGAAAAACACAGAATGCGCCAAAGTCGCCGAACGTCGAATGGCGATGGCTGCCGAAGTCCCCGTGTGACCAGACTCGTTCAGCAAAAACTGCACCACTGAAACCCCGAATCGCCCCAAAACCGACGAATATCTCCAATCCAAGAATGGTGTGTTCGATGCCGACTCGATCAGTAACGATGGATGTCATCAATCGAGAGTCCGTTGTTAAAGCTCGTCAGATCTACGCTGAGGGATCACAGAAAAAGCCAGCACTACGACAGTCATTGAGTATCGAATCGTTTGCCGATTTGATGGGTGAAAAGAAGAAGAAATTTCGTTTTGTACGAAAAGTCGCCACGTCATTTCGCTTCAAAAAACCTGAAAAGGAGCCTGTCGTGGAGAAGCTCGTATCAGCACCGTACAACCTATCGCGATCACTGCCACAAAGTCCGCATGTCGACCGTAAACCGAAGAAGTCAGCATGTCTCGGTGAGGTTTCCGTCAGTTTGTACAGTAATGCATGTCATGTGTCTAGTGTTAGCGTTTCGACATTAGGGGCGGTCAGATTTGTTGACAGGCATGCTTCTGTGAGTAGTAGGGCTTACTGCATGGTATTTATTCATAACAACTTCCGAACGATCCTTTTTAAGTGCATCCGTTTCGATAGAAAAGGGTTCCCACCACTGTTGTACTACTAAAAGAGCGTAGGTGTTTTAGTGCCAAGTGGCGCACAATCCCACGTATGGTCCGAGTTTGGTACCCCATCCCCCACCCAAAGACGACCGACCAATCCTTTCATTCTCTCCAGGATCGGTTAATTGGTGCTAGATTTGTATGAGAGTATGGGAGGGAAAAGTCCATTCTTCTGCCACAGCAGATTACAGTATAGGTCATATAAGCATGAAAAAGACAACTACGACTCAGAACTGAAGTCAAATGCATTGCGCATCCCAAAACGTATTGTATTTATAACGTCGGAAGACTTTCTCCTCTACCCTTTGTACTAGTGCAGGGANAGTATGGGAGGGAAAAGTCCATTCTTCTGCCACAGCAGCTTACAGTATACGTCATATAAGAATGAAAAAGACAACTGCGATTCAGAACTGAAGTCAAATGCATTGCGCATCCCAAAACGTATTGTATTTATAACGTCGGAAGACTTTCTCCTCTACCCTTTGTACTAGTGCAGGGAAATAATCATTTTGAACCATTCCAGCCATGGAAATAATAGCGTGAGTTGTCCGATGGAACGGCAAATAAACGCGAAAGATAGGAATAGGAGAATAAGCGGATTGGGAAAATGGTTCCTCTTAACAGCTGAAAGGGGCAGAAACACCAACTAAAAGTAGTGGTACGGACCATAAGCCTTTTTAGAGACATTGAAGCTTTATTAGAAACGTTTGATTTGATGCTACCTCGATCTTCGCATTGTGCGTAGGATAAAGCGTTCGGTGTAGTCGCACCTCGTGGAATACGCCATGTATCTATCTTTCATTCCCACTAGCACTGAAATGCTCGCTCAACCAAATGTTTGTTTTTTACTCCAACATGATAACGTACAGTTCCCGTCAGCATCTATGATTCAGAGCAGAACGGTTGATTGCTAAACAAGTCTAATTTCCAAGTCACCGCCGTTTTTGAAGGTCATGTCTACTTAACATTCAATTGGTTTCAGCGTCATCAGAAAAAACGTCCAACGCGTTCTCATGGCTGCCGTCGAGATCTCCAAAACGGTCCCATAAAGCTAGTACCGAGGTATCTTTCTAAGATGCTCACGGTGTCCACGGACTTACGTCTTGATCAGTACTACAGTGTTGACCTTTCAGAACGTTCAAGGTGTTGTCAGCCCCACCGACACGCTAGAGACGTTGGCTGAGAAAAACGGGGGCATACCGTTATTTTTGGAACGTTGCGTGGAATACATCGAAAAGGTTCGTGTAAATGTTACAGTACAATGTCGATTTCCCCATTTACCTACAGTATTCTCTCTTTTTGGATTTATATTGATTTTTAGATGATGCTTGATGCAAATGAGGTAAGTGGCTGAGTGTGTCTTCGTAGTAAGGCGTAGGTGTGCATTGAAGAGAATGTCGTTTGAAGATCATTAATGAGTAGAAAATGCGGCCCATTACCATACAGCTACCGTGCTCTAAAGCGTTAAACTCGTCCAACAGGCTTCCTTTATTCAGCTGGTGTTTCTCATGGCTGGCCTATAGGTCTCCGACAGGATCATCTATCTAATCATAGGACCAGTTTTCATTCTCTCATCTCTTTTTTGAGGTTCATAACATACTATCTTCACAATCCGGTCTTGCCCCAGTACCGCAGGACCTGATACAGAACCACCCGGAGATCAGAGTACTCCTTGATGGCTATTACATATATTTAACGCTTTCTTAATTGTTACGCTTCCTCTCGAGCTTAGAATATGGGGAATGTACATCAGGAGAAAGCTTCAATTCCCCGTGGAATTCTGAATGGAGACCTAGGCATGTGTAGGGTTCAGAATGCTGTTTACGGGTATAAAAGTTGGAGCTGCTAAGTGGTTTCCCAAACAACTTATGAGACATCAAATTTTGCTTGAATATAGTTATGGTCACAACTTTTTAGGAAACTCATCGAGCAGTTTCAATTTCAAGAAAACAGTGCGATCTTGGTGGGAAATGGGGCGCGCTATCATAAACACATGCTCACTGGTTTAAATTCCTAGGCAAGTCAAGATTCCCATCTTTAGAGTCGGTTGAGTCCATGATCGACTTTCTTGCAATCTTGGCATGATATACAGTAAAGATACGNCCTGTTCAAGCCTCTCAAGATTGAATACTTTATATGGCCAACGTTTCGGCTGCTTCGCCTTCGTCAGGGCCTGAAATAGTGCAAAGCATATGTGGCTTGCTCGCCCAAACGCCTAACAAAACTCCAAGAAAAATTTCAAGTAGACCAGCAAACCCCCAAGGTATTGATTGAATGAGGCATGGATTGCTCACCTTGAAGTCCGCCGCTACGACAGTCTCGGTTGAGTGTTAACAGACTTGTCTGGGAGGACAAAAGCACTGATTTAGCATGGCATGGACTGCTCTCCGTAATTCATTGCATGGGTCACATACGGATCAGCTAATGGTACTAGACTCGTCTGAGAGGGTAAAAGCACTGACTCGTACATTGGCCGACCTTCGCAAGACATTGTGAATGGAAGTCAAACGCAGGGCGCATCCTTCAGAAAGGGTTGATAAATGTCCAAAGACTTCACGATTTTATCCTGAACAGCATTCTGAAGTCTGTCGGTATACTTAGGCCTCTATTCGAAGTTCTATGAGACGTTGAGAGCCTTTTCTGGGCAAACTTTCAAAGAGAGATTTGGTGATAGAGATGACCCTCATTTACCAACTCGTACTAATTGTACATATTAGAGCAGCCTATCACGTTTATTCGATTTCATAAGCAGTAACCACCGTGTTTTGCGTAAATATGATGCTTGAACTAGCATTCGCTAGCTGCTTTTACCGCCGTTGTGTTTTTAAACCGTGAGCATAACCTTTGCTATTAAGATCCAGCTCATAGTATCAATTTAGGAAGGCGGTCTGGAAATGGAAGGCTTATATCGTGTGCCGGGAAATCAGGCTCAATTGAGCGAACTTGAAAAAGCATTTCGAGAAAAGGTAAGTTAGGAAGACCTTTTCAAAGTAATTCCATGTCAAATAGGCTGAGTGATAGGGCTGTTACCGTAATAAGTACATGACAGGGGGTAGTAAAAAGGTCAAGTAGAAAAGGTGCACATCCTCACAAGCATGGTTCAGGGATCGGATCCCGGATTGCTATCCCCATGATCAACCAAGATTTTGCGTTTGGAAAAATGCTGAGAAAGGAGGGCGTCCTAGAAATGGGATTGATCAATCCTAGAGACTTTAGACGGACTGCAGATTGTCTCTGATCAGATAAAGGCCTACCCTAGCTTCAAAACGATATATAATCCTCTAAAATATCTTCAGGGCGATGTGGATATCGCTGGTCTCGACATGCCGGTACACGTGGTTGCGACAGCCGTGAAAAACTTCTTCAGTTGCTTGGCAGAACCTCTGATTCCTACGGAATTACATCAGGACATTTTGGACAGTATGAATGGTTCCGAGGTGAGATTCTTCAACTCCAGTACTATATAGAAGCTTTTTTTATCCCACTGAACCACCTATTTAGGAGTCTCCCCGATTCCCAGTAGTTATAGCTGCGCTCCGAATCAATTTTATTTTCCCGTTGCAAACCTTTAATTTGACCCCGCTGTGTTGTAGTCCATCGATGAAGTGGTGAGACTTCTCTTTCGCATCTGATTAGAAAGTTTTGATAACATCACAAATAGTTCCATGTGGTGAGAAAGATCATAGTGGGAGGGCGTGAACCTTGAGCAAAAGGGCCCATGCAGGGCAAATGATCTGTCCTTTTTCCTCTCAATGCATAGGGGCCCCAACCAGGCTTAGACTTATTTTAGAGATGTTTCTGAGCGGATATCGCAAGAAAATGACTGGAACGTGTACGAAGTATGAGACGGCAAGTGTTAAAGAGATATCTTTCGAGGCAGTGGAACCACCGGGTCGACCCCAGCTCCCGATTGTTGTGCGCGCAGCTGCGATGCGGTCGTGCATCTTGCTTGAAACGGCTAATTACCTAATCTCACCTCAATCCATGCTCCAGAAGGAAAGTATTCATAAATACTCACAGTAGCAGTCTGCACTTGCTTACCGCAGCACATCCATGTGATAGCCCAACACCCGTGTCACATAAACGATATATAACGCACTTAAAAATAAAGTTCCGGGCAAGGACATGAATGGGTGGTTGGGTAGCGGAAATAATACCCTCCGAGACAGCAGGTTATGTCCTGAAGCTGCGAGGTTGAGGCGTTCTTTCTGACAAAACTAGCAGAAATCTCCAGCACCGTACCACAATTACTATAAATGTTCCAGGTAATTGAACAAATGCATGCAGTTATGACACGATTAACACCAGTGAATCGGAATGTTCTCATCTACTTAACATCTCATTTAGAAAGGGTAAGTCACTCATCTTATTGTTCCGAATGAGTGATAGCTATTGAGTGATCGTTATAGGTAGCCTCTTCACCAAGCACTGCTATGGATGTTCACAATCTGTCAAAAGTTCTTTTTCCCACATTGTTCAGGTGTGGCACTATTCTTTTCTGGTAATTCTGATCTCTTTTTTGGGAACCCTGGGGGTAAAGGTGTAGAGCTGGGTCAGTCTAAGAATTAGCTGCCGGATCACCCAGAGCATTCTTGACATTCTGCATTTGCCAATCCATCGCGCATGCCTTGAGAGGTGCAGTTTACAATGATTTTGGGCTTTTTATGTGAAAAAAAAATGGAAGAGTGTGGGGAATATTCTGCATCGGTAGCAAAGATATAGGTCCGCCAATTTGCGGAGCATAGGATTTCCCAAATGTGGTTTAAATAAGAGAGGTACAAGATTACCATGACGGAAATGGTATGAAAAGGGTATCTTGACAAGACCTAAGTCTTGTGCAATAGCATAAACAGCATTCTACAGTAAGCCAAAAATGGCAACCACTGTCCATTTTCGCCATGGGTCACGTCAAGTTGTCTGGAGTTTCACCATATGTGCTCCATTGTGAATGGTTGGACCTCCATGGCGCCACAAAAACACGACCTATCAGTCTATTTCTGACCAGATAGCTCCTCGAATAACATACTTGGGTTCCTTCGAGTTGCAAATCACGGAAATCGTTTTAGACGTGAATCGTGTCCTGAAGAGTGGTAACGACCACCTCTTCGCGATACTGATAAAAGTTAAGCAAGTTGAAACCAGGAGGACATCTTAAAACACCAAGCAACGTAATATCGTGTTTCCTTAATATTGATTTTTCAGGCCTCAATTCAATGATTTTCTCGAAATGTCTTCTGGAACGGCTAAATTTCAACAAGCCACTGAAATCATCTTACAAAACCCTTCTAAAATCTTCCATTCACATCAAGCGCAATCGCAACGGGTCTGAAGCGGGTTGCAGCTCACAGTTTCGGTCTTTAGTTTCGTTTGTACCTTTCTGGAAGACAAAGACTTGTTTTTCACGCTTCCATATATCTGGAAGAACATCCGCTTGAATTTTAATTTCTAGTTACTTTTCCCTGAGCTAGAGTACCCTTCGGGAACTTTCAACCTTCGGTCAACTTTCAACCTGCAGTCGAACTTTTTTCAAAACCGCCTGTTTTATTTGCAAATATTTCGTAGGTTCTAGAGCCCTTCAGGCGTAGTTTTCGTGGAGTTCCGTGTTCTGGTCCAGTAGGGTGAGAGAGTTTCTTTCCAAACCACTGATCCATTCCAATGGACGAGTTTCCACTGTAGCTATGTTCCTCGTTGACAGCGAAACTATAGACCGAATTCAATAAGTCGCTCTCGTTTGAAGTGTTACGGGTTTATTTGATCACTACATATTAATACATTTTTTAAATTGCTTAAAATTACATTTTCATGTCATTATCGAATACTCACCGGTTATTAGACGGTTGTGCTTGCTCCCTTCACGAAATTTGCTTCATTCTAAGTACAAAACTGCTATTATTACTTTGTAATAACTGTAACCTATCAAATAATGCTTCACAAATGTCTGCCCCCTTTCGGTGTATTACCTCACTTTTCAACTTTTTGCATTTTCTTTTCTCATAAAAAAGAATTTGCTTTGTAGGGGCCATTAGCCATCAGAGAGCATATTATGTATGTGCATGTATGAATAACACTGTCAATGTTTTCTTTCTAGTCTGGATTGACCGTTAAGGTCCTGTCATTCTTCAAACCCTTCCTGTGCTTAATGTATGTGAAATTTTTATGTAGATAGAATTTTTGAATTTTTCTTTGTTGCTTTTCCTGTTTGCCTAGCAACTGTAACGCAGAAGTTGGAAAAATAAGAAAGTCTGGGAAACGCATAAGAGTTGGGAGAATCCTCACCCATACATGTGTGGCTGCTTTCATAGTCCGCCGACCGGCGGACTATGAAAGCAGCC